TGATTTTTTGGGTGACATAACACGGGCACCAGCTGGGTCTTTGTGATGTTAGTGTACTGTAAGGAGACTAAAGGAACAGGAAATAAAAGCTGAACTGTAAGGAAACTAAAGGAACAGAAAATAAAAGCTGAATTACCTCGGCCTTCGCCACTTCCACGTCTGGGTGGAGGTTTAGCATCTCCAGGAGAGCTCTGGTTCCACCTTTCCGAACGCCGATGATAATAGCCCCGGGCAGCCGCTGCTGGGTGGCATTGTGAGACGAGGAGGAGGAAGAGGAGGAAGAGGAGGAAGAGGAAGAAGAGGAAGAAGAAGAGGAGGAGGAAGAGGAGTAAAGAGGAAAAACGGAGCCCCTAAAGCACCCGGAGAGCTGAGCCTGTAGCAGTAAAAGCACCAGGAGGGCCAAAAGCAGCGTCCCCAGCATGGCGCCACACACACACACACACACACACACACACACACACACAGGCTCCCACGTAGTGCTTGTTATCAGTCAGCAGGGGGCCTCAGCGGGGAGCTCTTCCCTTTGACAACCTGAAAAACAGAAAAAGTAAAAGGTTATTGTTCACTTTCGCTGCATACTTTGATAAAAACGTGATAAATTTAGCGAGAGAACTCCTGATAAACAAGCAAATGAGTTCCTTTTAAATGGAAATGACTCAGAACGGGGATGCAGCCGAGCAGGATGAAAATGGAGACTGGATTGAGATGTTTGATGCGTTTATTCCAGAAGCCTACGCAAATTTAAGTCAGATATCTGTTATAATCAGAGATGTATAAAGTACTGGAGTAGAAGTACAAGTACTATATAATAAAACTGACTTGACTAAAAGTAGAAGTGTTCTTTTAACTCCAGACTTAAGTGGAAGTACGGAAGTACTCCATTTTTTATACTTAAGTATTGCAAGTAGAAGTATTTCAAAAATTGCTACTCAAGTATTGAAATTACAAGTATAAGTAAAAGGACAAGTACTGTGTAGATTAAAAAAAGGCAGTCAAAGGTTTGATTGATATTGTTTATATTATTTCAAACGTGGGAAATAGCCATACAGGCAGAAAGGTCCTGGTTCCCCCGGGGAAAAGACTTTAAAAGAAAATGATAGTTCTATGAGGAACAAAACAACCAGTAATTTACATAGATCCTGTTTTAGCATCCTATGCTAAAGTGAGTAATTACAACCAAACTCTAACACCTCCTTCACATTATTCTCTCAGAAGAAACAACAGGACTTCATGGACCATTTCTGAGGCGTTCCCTTTCAAATGTCTGTTCTCATTGTGGATGTTTCTGAGTGACTGTAGTTGTAAAACTCCACCGATGTCAGCTCATTAACCACAGAGAGACGTAATCACCCCAATGGTCCATTTAGGCCATTAGTTCCCGGGTAAGGGACTATCATCTCTCACACCTGTGTTCAATGTTCAATGACAGGAGAACGTGAAGCGTTTTTATCTTTATTCACGTTTCTGTTTTAACGCTTTGAATAAAAGCAGCAAATGCTAACCCAAAAACAACAAAAAGATGCCACGTTGAGTAAATACAGAATCAGAATCAGAAACACTTCAATAATCCCAGAGGGAAATTATTAAAAAATATATGTGTATTTATATGGAAATGCTTGTGTCACGTTCATCTTACGACATTATCTATCTATCTATCTATCTATCTATCTATCTATCTATCTATCTAT